AAATGATCCTACTGGTAAGAAATAGTTGAACTTTCTCTGTAGCTTAGACTCATCCAGGTTAAAAAAAAATCCACATGGACTGAAGTGGTGAAAGAATGATTTATTAAAGACAACCTTAATAGTACTATATTGCGCTTGTATGTTTATTTGATTTTATGTTTGATAAACTATACAATAATATATAGCATAAAGAATGATTCCTGTTTCATATGGTATTTTTCTTCTTTGGGTACCGGGAGTCCAAAACCTTAGCACTGACATGTTTTTAGGTAGCCTTAGCTGGTTGTTTTCTATTGTGTGTCAAGAGATGGCAGTCTGTTTTTGTGATGTGCAAGTGGAACATTATTAGTTTAACGAGGGACTAGTGTATTATCTGTGGCATCCTGGCAGGGCTCTGGGACTTCCCATAGTGTGGCTACTTCCCCCCAAACCAGAGTTGTGAAGGTGTGATTGATGCCCGGCAACTGGGAATCATTCTCATCAAGGACATCCCGCCCTCCGCAATAAAATATTGCTTGCTCATGCCAACTCATACTCGGAGACTGGGCTAACAATTGATCTGGGCTGAATTGCCATTAAGAATAAGACAGAAACTAATACGTTTGGCACTGGAAGATTACCAAGTGAGAGAAAGAGCAGCCGCTGGAAATGGGGAAAGCAATAATGGATTTCTAGCAGTCATTTAGGCTTGTTTTTGTTTCTTCCAAATGGTTTCATATACCCTGCTTGTTAATCTCAATATATTACAGTGGTACCTCGGGTTACAAACGCCTTGGGTTACAAACACTTTGGGTTACAGACTCCGCTAACCCGGAAGTACTACCTCCGGTTAAGAACTTTACCTCAGGATGAGAACAGAAATTGTGTGGCGGCGACAGCGGGACGCCCCATTAGCTAAAGTGGTACCTCAGGTTAAGAACGGACCTCCAGAAGGAATCAAGTTCGTAACCCGCGGTACCACTGTATTAGATATGTTGCTTGTTTAAGGGGTGAAGAACTGAGGTGGAATGATTGTCTTTGGAATGCACCTCTCTATATGGACTCAGATTTCTTATTTGGATTTCTATTATGATTCTTCGTATACACTATGAAGTGTTCTAAGTTTGGGATGGGCAATTGCTGTGGTTCTCCAAAGAGGTCAGGCTAGCAGAGTCTTCGGCACCTCCAGGGTGCCTGACTTTTGTGCAGTTCTGCCTCGCATTTGGGTAGATGTCCGTAGGTACCCTTTGCACAATAAATTAAGGTTACCAGATCCCCCCCCCATGAATCCGGGGACACTTTTCAATGTCCTACTAAATTGATGGATTTTGTCAGGGGACTGATTTGTAAATCTGGGGACTGTCCCCTGGAAACGGGGAAGTCTTATAACCTTACAATAAATGCACCTTAATCACCCACCACAGAGCAAGTGAGTATATTGCGATAAATAGCAACAACTGAACAGCACTCTTGTGCAATGAAATCTACTTCCAGAAAAGAAAACCGGATTTTCTAAGGCACAAAAAGAGATGGAAAAACATGGCAGAAAGTACCACAACCACTTGATGGCAACATTGTGGACTCAGCTATACAGCTACAAATAAAACGTTTTAAGTTTGTAGTAAAGTTCCGCATGAGAAGAGAAGACTCCCTGGAAAAGACCCTGATGTTGGGAAAGATTGAGGGCACAAGGAGAAGGGGACGACAGAGGACGAGATGGTTGGACAGTGTTCTCGAAGCTACAAACATGAGTTTGACCAAACTGCGGGAGGCAGTGGAAGACAGGAGTGCCTGGCGTGCTCTGGTCCATGGGGTCACGAAGAGCCGGACACGACTAAATGACTAAACAACAACAACAGAAGTTCAGCATACAAATGTGACACTAGATAGTGACAGTGAGCTATGGAAATTTCAATGTATTTTTCAAAACTTTTTTTTTAAAGCATTGTCACAGCTTTTTTTATATGTGTGTAGATTCCACCTGTATAACCGCTGCATTATTTTTGTGAAAATCAATCAGCACTATTGTTCAAAGTGCGCCTCTTCTGGTACCGACCTTTGTTGTTGTTGTTGTTGTTGTTTAGTCATTTAGTCGTGTCCGACTCTTCGTGACCCCATGGACCAGAGCACGCCAGGCACCTCTGTCCTCCACTACTTCCCGCAGTTTGGTCAAACTCATGCTGGTAACCTCGAATACACTATCCAACCATCTCGTCCTCTGTCGCCCCCTTCTCCTTGTGCCCTCCATCTTTCCCAGCATCAGTGTCTTCTCCAGGGAGTCTTCTCTTCTCATGAGGTGGCCAAAGTACTGGAGCCTCAGCTTCACGATCTGTCCTTCCAGTGAGCACTCAGGGCTGATTTCCTTAAGAATGGATGTGTTTGATCTTCTTGCAGTCCATGGGACTCTCAAGAGTCTTCTCCAGCACCATAATTCAAAAGCATCAATTCTTCGGCGATCAGCCTTCTTTATGGTCCAGCTCTCACTTCCATACATCACTACTGGGAAAACCATGGCTTTAACTATACGGACCTTTGTTGGCAAGTACCGACCTTAGAAGTGATATTTGTGCCTTTGAGCAACCACTGGGAGAATGATGCTCATCCTGTTCTGGACAGGAATGAATCCCCCTAAGACCTAAAGCAGCAAAGCTGGGGGTTGGGCGGCTCCTAGAATCAACTTTGCTACCTCAACCCCAAGAGCTTCTGTGGTGAAGAACATCTTCCATCTGCTGAATCTGACGTGCCAGTTCTGGCCAGAGATTGCCTGGGCATGGTAATCTATAGTAACATTTAAAATTGACTATGGTTTAAAGCATTATATTTGGGACTACCCTTAAATGCTATGTGAAACTGTAGTTAGCTCAGAACACAGCTGCTATGACCAGACTGGATGTTGGGAACAAATTTAGACTAGTGCTTAAAGAACTGGACTGGCTTCTGGGGCATTTCTGAGCACAATTCAACATGTTTGCACTTAATATGGTGAGGTGTCTGGGGATTGGGACCTCTCAGCAGTTGTGGTGCCTTGTTTATGGCATTCTGTCTCTGAAGATGCTTCAGCATCAGTCAGTGTGATCTGTTTGTTTTCCTAAAGATTGTTTAAAGTTTTGAGTTTTCAATTATTTTAATCTGTGGCTTTTGATTGTTGGTCTTGATTGTGCTTGTTTGATTTTTGTATAGATTCTTATTGATCCTTTTAGCTGCAGGACAGTGCGTAGATGGCATTAAATAATACTAATAAAGTGTGTGTGCACCCATGTGTTTGTTTAAAACCTGTCTGCATATCAAAGAGGCCTAAAATGCAATCTCTTACTGAAACTAACATTCAAGACTTTTAACAGTCATACTATAGGTTTCTCTTGCTGGAGATAAGTGATTGCTTGATACTAAAGGTATCGTAATTTAATATTATTATTTTTTAGTATACTATTTGATATAGGCACCACAGAGTAGGGACTGACCCTCACCATATGGGATTGGCATGGTGTTTAATAATATAACGGAATTCTGTCAAGTAAAACTGCCCGTCTGTCTTCACAGTGCACTATACCACCTGCACTTTAAACAGCAATAGACAGCAATATGTGAAATGAAGAAGAAGAAGAGTTTGGATTTGATATCCCGCCTTTCACTCCCTTTAAGGAGTCTCAAAGCGGCTAACATTCTCCTTTCCCTTCCTCCCCCACAACAAACACTCTGTGAGGTGAGTGGGGCTGAGAGACTTCAAAGAAGTATGACTGGCCCAAGGTCACCCAGCAGCTGCATGTGGAGGAGCGGAGACGCGAACCCGGTTACCCAGATTACGTGACTACCGCTCTTAACCACTACACCAAACTGGCTCTACACCAAACATGATGATGATGATGATGATGACAGTCAATTGAGAGATGTCTGAAATGTATTGATTGAACTCTCAGCTTCGATTTTCATTTGTGTGTGTGTTTGTGTGTTATTTGGTAGAAGATCACAATCTGGTATGAGGGTAAATAATGTGGGATATTTTTTGTTTGCACAACATTAGCTTCTTTGCAACTGCATGAACTATAGACAAGCCACAGACAAAGGGCTCTTCTTCAACAAAAACAGCAGAAGAGGCTGTGGTTGAACATCTTGCCTTAAGTGGACACCAGCTGCTCTTTCTTAATTGGTTTGTTTCTTGACTTACCAAGGCCTCTGTCGTTGTTCCGCTAGGGAGAGGCATAGGGTTAAAGAGCCCCTTTACCTGTGTCTGGAGAAGTCAAATGTGTTGCTAAAAAAACAACAACAAGGATTGAGCTCAGGCTGTGTGTTGTGGCTCCAAATGGAAAGCTCCAGGAAAGCCTAGAAGCAAAATGTGGGCTGCTGGTTTCCTAACTCTGTAAACAATCCAGCATTAATCTTGGTTTGTGGCATATCACTGTTCAGGACATTGCTTTTGATTTCTCTTATTTGCAGGACAGAACCCCAAAATTCTATACACATATATACCAACAGTTATTCATTCTTCCTTGATCTGAAGAGTCAGCAAATTTTGATTGCCTGGTATTTCTGCTGTCCATCATTGACCCTGCTCTTCCTCCAATAGGGGAGAGCAAGTTTTCTCAGTGATCTAATGCTGAGCTTTGGGGCCTAGCATAAACTCCCTCCTCCTACCCAGTTCTAGACTGGGCAAGGGGCTGGTGGGGACTTTGACCTTCACTCTATGGCTTTGAGGACCTTGGAAGTCAGTGTGACATCTCAGTGTGACTTTGGAGAGCCTCCAATGTCAGTGCAAGGTCACAGAGACCATCTGCTGCTCTCTTGACTTGGGTAAAAAGCGAGTGCTCTCAGCAGAATAAAAAAATGGCAAGCACATTTGTGCCACCCTGCTCTTGAATCATATTTTCACTTGTGCTTGATTTTGCCGTATATGGGTGCTTTCATGATCAAAAGCAGCTTGCTTGTGACATTTAGGTCTTTATTTTTCTAAATAAAAAAAATCAGCAATCTTCTGTGTGCGGTCAAGACGAACCCAGTAATTTCTTCTTCCTTTCCTTTTACAGGCTCTCTACAATTCAATCAAAAACGAGAAGCTTGAGTGGGCAGTGTAAGTATATTGTGCAGAATTAATGAGTTTTAAAAATGACGCCTGTTATGGCATTCCGATTGATATGCAGGCAGCATATGAAACAGATTCTAGATCTTGCAGAAATCCACCCCAGCAATCCAGGGGAGCAACCCACCAAGTCCTCTTGCATTCATTTGCTGTATAGTCATTATTCATTCAGGAGAGCTAGTACAGTATGCCAATTAAGAGACCGAGCTGCAGTGGACTTGAAAGGTCACGGGTTCAAATCCAGCCCAAGCCAAGAACTCATTAGGTGGCCCTTAGCCAAGCCAAGCGCCTCTCAGCTTCAGTCTTTCTTTCTATTTGCAATGTAAAGATAATAATGCTGACAACGCCTTACAGTAGTGTTGCAAGGATTACTGAAGTATGTTTTGAGAAGTGCTTCAAATACTGTAAAACAGACATTTGATAGGCAGGATTATCTAGTGCAAACCCCTGCAATGCAGAAATATGCACCTGTCCCATACGGGGATCGAACCTGCAACCCTGGCATTATCAGTACCGCACTCTAACCAACTGAGCTATCCTCCTCTCTCTCTCTCTCTCTCTCTCTCTCACACACACACACACACACACACACACACACACCCTTTCAATCTTATTTCCAGGACTGTTCCCAGAATAAAACAATTAAAGTGCAAATACAAAATGCCAGTAAACTAAAAGTCACAGAATCATAAAAGCCACCACTGAGAAGGCCCGGCCCCGCCCAGTAGCCACCTGCCTCACTCAGCAAAGTCACTTGCAAGAGGCCCTGCTCCAAAGAGCTTCATGTACAGCTACATGCATATAGAGACAGGTGGTTCTTCAAGTTCTCCCTCTCCTAAATCATGATGGGCTTTATAGGTTCAAACTTTGGGGAATGGCATGGCTCAGTGGTAAGAGCATGGATACAAAACGCTCCAGGTTCCATCTCTGGCATCTCCATGTAGGACTGGGAAAGACGTCTGAAACTCTGGAGACCCACTGCTGGTTGATGTTGTCAGCACTGAGTGAGATGGACCAATGGTCTGACTTTTTATAAGGCAGTTTCTGATGTTCTTAGACTGCCACTTTCAATTGAATCTGGAAATGGTTCATAACACCCAGTCCCAGTTGGTAACCTAAGTAGCCTCATACTACACTAAGTGAAGTCTTCAAACTGTCTTCAAAGTAAGCCTCATCTAGCGCATTACAATAATCCTGCCTGTAACGTATATGTAATTTTCGTCTCTCAAAACAAATGCCTTGTACATACACTCAGGGCAGCTTGATGGTTATTGCCTCCTCGACTCCTGCCATCCCCTTTGCCTAGTCGCTTGTGCTCAAGCACTGGAGACACTTTTTAATTATTGTTGTTTTTTTGTGCCGTAGTAATTTAACAGATTTATAGACTGCTTCATAACATAAAGCCCATTGAAGTGGCCCATGTGATAAACAACAAAATAAAATTCAAACACACAACTTCTAAAAGCAAGAAAACAATTTACTGAGAGTTACAACTGTGCCACAAAGGACTGGGTCACTTCAGAAAGCCTTCTTAAAGAAAAAATGTCTTTAATAGGCATCTAAACACCATGACAGTAGGTGTCTCCTAATTTCGGCTTGTGATTGATTGCAGAGAACTGGAGCTATGACACCAAGAACCTGGTTTCTAGTGCAAGATGAGCACACCTCTGGGGCATAGAGTGCTCTCAAGGGAGCCCAGCAGAGAACATACAGGAGAAGGCAGTCCACTAGATACCCTAGTCCCAAGTTGTTTAATGTGTATCCAGAAATCGCAGTGTGCCTTTGTTCCTTCCCTTGAGATTATGCAATTGCTCATGTTACTGGTTGAGGGGGAGATCATTCTGCTGCACTGAGTTTTGTTGTTCCAATGGGGAATGTGTCCTTGATGGATAATTCTTCTCATGGCACAGTTTCAGAGTTTCTACTCTGCCTTACAAATGTGCTGTTTTGATGGTGTTTTATGGGAATTTTTTGAAATAGTGGAGATTGCACATCAGGAAAATGTGCTAATTTGTGCATTTGGACCTTAACTCCCTGGTCCACAGAACACTGGATGAGCTGTCCTCAAAGCTGTAACAAGAGCGCAGGTTGTCAAACCCTTATTATATCATGAAATCCACATGCCTGCTGTTACTCCGGCTAGCAGTACGAGTTGTTAGCGATGAAAGGCCACTTGTAAGGGTGGGGGACGTTTTTATTTGGCTCGGAAACTTCATCTTAGAGAGAGAAATTAAATCCTCAGTTAATCTGTGGCAGCATGAATAAAACACGTGCTTAGTTTTCGGCCTTTTATCTTCCAGGACATTGTGTCAGAACTTGCTGAGTAGAAAACACGTCTCGGGTCAGATTTCTTCCTGTTGGCTTGTTGTCTCGTGTTTGTCTCTTGATTAACTATGGATAGCTTGACAACGAACTGATATCAAAGATAATTAATTGCGGAAGGCCTAATGTACCCCACTTCAGCTGCTTTCAGGAAGCTAACAATTGGAATTCAAAGCCAAGCATGAGGAGTCCAGTGTCTGCCAAGACACTTTAATCATTCCTCTCTGTCATCCCTGCTTGCTTGACTTCCTTATGACGCTGGTGCTTTCTGTAGTGAGAGAGAATCGTGGCTGTTGTGTGAAGGCTGTGGCAGAACAGAGGATGTCAGTTTAAATGCAGCCATGCCCATTTTGATGCTGGTAAGAAGGCTGCTTTTATGGAGGCAGCTTTTGCTGCTCTAAGAGCTTTCAAGTTACACCAACTGCGGTGGAACATCTGCAGGCTCTTTTCCTGCACTGATGGTGGTTTGCGGGATGAAAGATGCCATAATTACCCGTTCAGTATTACTGAGTCCTTTGCACTCCCATGACAGTAGCAGTCACTATCAAATTGCTCCTGATGATAACGGAAGTTAATTATTATTATTTATTATTACTTATACAGTCCCATTAGTGTACAATGACAGAGGGGGGGGAATAGGCAAGACCCTCACTTCATGGAGCATCCAATTTAAAGCAAATGGGGGGGGCAGGCAGGGTGGGAATGAGAGGCAGGGATGACTTTTGGGATAGGGGAATGTGGGCAAGTGCAGTTACATTGGTGCCTAAAAGCAGATCATTGGAGTAGCTGGATCTTCACTTACATCAGCTGCTGCTTTTGACATCATGTGGTTTCATCACTGTTGAAATCAGCTGCCAGCCTCCACTGTCTGAACTACCCTGTCCTTCATTTAACCTTCATCCATGTACTTAAGAGTGGCCACAAGAACTTACCTCCCTTCTCCTCTTTCTTCTCTACTGACGGAGAAAGCCGTTTCCCTCTCAGTGGCACTTCCAAGAGTACCCAGTTTTCTAGGGCCATCTTGATTATGATAGGATCACTGAGTAGAAACCAACCAATTTAGGACACATGTGTCATCATGGAGACTCTGCCCTGAATAACCAGGGAAGGTGGAGAAGTGGGAAGGCAAATGACCAGGATTGGGGGGGGGGGGCGGCAGGGTGTAGCAGAGGATGACAGAGAGTGGGTAGAACTCTGTGTTCTTTTAACTATACCATTTTAGAACAGTGCAGTTTAGATTGCAGTTCCTTTGCCAAGAGCTCCCTTGTTGGGCAAATCCCTCCGTAATGGAGAGGAAGCCCCTCCCCTACTACCTTAGTGAAACTCATACATCTCAGGCTTGGACATGGGCTTTGCAGGTTCATAATGTTCATCACAAAGAAGAGGTGAGTGCATTTGGACCTTAATTCCATATTTCAAATTCTTTTCCAGCTCTGGAGCCAAAGAATTCTGGGCCAGAGAAGAATCTCTGCCAGAAAACAATTATTTGGGGCTGGAGCACTGGAACACAAGATTTAGATGTCCCTTGGGAAATGTAGTTTTCTCAATGGCTACTGACATCTACAGAATCAGACTTATAGGACTAGAACTTGTTTTGAGAGTGCCCTGCAGCTCAGTGGTTGGGCAGATCCTTTGCATGAAGAATGCTTCCAGCATCTTTGTCTAAAATGGTCTTGGCCCTAGATTAACAGGAAAGACCTCTTTGAAGAGCCACCACCAGTCAGGATAGACAGTGCTGAAGCAGATGGCCAAGTGACCAAAGTTAAATGAGGTAGCTTTTTACTTTCATAGAATCATGGAATCTTAGAGTTGGAAGGGACCCTGAGGATCATCTAGTCCAACCCCCTGCAATGCAGGAATATGTAGCTGTCCCTTTTGGGGATTGAACCTGTGACCTTGGCGTTATCAGCAGCACACTCTAACAAACTGAGCTATCCAACCTGTTTGATCAGCAAGCATATTCTGTACAGTCTACACCACCCAAACTCCTGACATTATACAGGTACTCCACACTTGACAAGGACACTTGCGGAATTACTTGGTTCTGTTTGGAGTAATTTATAAACATCTTAACATTTAGAGGGTAGAATTGCTTTTCTTGATTAGGGCCAAGGGGCTTGGGGAAATGAGCATTAGCTGATAAAACTCGAAATAAGCGACGGCTGCTGTGTTTCTCTTCTATGTTAGGAAGCAAGGGAGATATTGCAGAGGACTGATTTATCGTCCATCCATGTCAGACTCCTTAAGATGACAGAATTTCCACCAGGAAAGATGTCTTCAAAGGGTGCATTTTATAGTTTAGATAGCAGTTCTGTTAATTGAGACCTGGGCTGCGACTGATTTCAGCACAGAGAGAAAGACAGAATACATGTATGGCTTTTCTACAGCCATGACAACAAACCTATCCCAGATCCAGGCTCTCCTACCAAGAAGGCATCCAGGTTGTAGGCCTGAGAAAGGCCTTTCTCTCTCTCTGACCTTAGTGAGTTGCTGTCAACTGGAGCAAACTACATTGAGCTAGACAGATTCTGTATGGTACAGCTTCGTGCATTCAAATGACTGTGGCCTCTCTCCACTGGTGCTCCAAAGTGAGCCCTGTGCCCTGTGGGAAACACTGTGCTGTGCTGCTATGGGTGCAGCAGATGGCTCTTACATTTTAGATCAAATAACAGCCCTCGCTCCCCTTAGTTGATGTCACTCCAGTAGTATTGGAACAGAATGAACTAGTGCGTTGCTGATGAAACAGAGGGGGAGAACTTGTTGACAGTCAGTTGGACAAGAGGCGTTCTCTGTCTAACCGCTCTTGTTCTGTGCTTTCAACCAGAATCTTGGAAGTTGTTTGCTGCAGTCATTATTTGCAGGATTAAACCGAGTCAATAAGTCCTTGGTCAAAAATGTATGATACACAGAGAGCTGCTGCCCCTGGTTAGCACTCCGACATTTTGCCATTTAAAAAAACGTTGTCATAGTTCTTACATTTTTTTAAAAAAACCTGGAATCCTACATGCCTTTACAACTATATTCTACCTTCCATTCCTTCATAATCTTTACACTCAAGCGAGAGACATCTTCTTAACAACACCAAATCTGGCAATTTTTTTACAACAGTGGCATATAGCAGTGATGATGATGATGATGATGATGATAGCTATACCACCTTTATCTTCTAAGGATCTCAAGGTGGTGTATATGCCCCCCCCATGTCATCCTCACTACAACCCTGTGAAGTAGGTTAGGCTAAGAGATGGTGACTGGCCCAGGGTCATGCAGTGAGTTCCATGGCTGAATGGGAATTTGAACCCTGCTCTCCCAGGTCCTAGTCCAACACTCTTAACCGTTACATCACACTGGCTCTAGTTACATGTCTTACATAGTTAATGCTCTCTTGGGGTAGAAATGTTGATACCAACGAATTAAAACATGCAGCCCCAGGGGAATGGTGCAGAGGTTTTGGTTCTGATTCATATCTCTAAATATAAATATATGAGCCATCCCGCTGAAACTAATAAGATTTCTTGCAGGTTTAAAATTAGGTGTATGTTAGAAGTACTGCAGTTTGTTTTAGACCACAGCGCCTAACATGAAGGAAGTGTCTTTCCACTTACTTGGTAGGCTGAGGTGATAAAAAAAGTGTTCCTCTCCTTAATCTGATTTTAAAAAAAGATAAAGATTGCATTGGGCTCGCCAACTGAATTTAGGTGTGGGTATGTATGTATGTGGGACGCGGGTGGCGCTGTGGGTTAAAGCCTCAGCGCCTAGGACTTGCCGATCGAAAGGTCAGCGGTTCGAATCCCCGCGGCGGGGTGCGCTCCTGTCGCTCGGTCCCAGCGCCTGCCAACCTAGCAGTTCGAAAGCACCCCCGGGTGCAAGTAGATAAATAGGGATCGCTTACTAGCGGGAAGGTAAACGGCGTTTCCGTGTGCTGCGCTGGCTCACCAGATGCAGCTTGTCACACTGGCCACGTGACCCGGAGGTGTCTGCGGACAGCGCTGGCTCCTGGCCTATAGAGTAAGATGAGCGCACAACCCTAGAGTCTGTCAAGACTGGCCCGTATGGGCAGGGGTACCTTTACCTTTACCTTTATGTATGTATGTAGGGACGCGGGTGGCGCTGTGGGTTAAACCACAGAGCCTAGGACTTGCCGATCAGAAGGTCGGCGGTTCGAATCCTCGCGACGGAGTGAGCTCCCATTGCTCAGTCCCTGCTCCTGCCAACCTAGCAGTTCGAAAGCACATCAAAGTGCAAGTAGATAAATAGGTACCGCTCCGGCGGGAAGGTAAATGGCATTTCCGTGCGCTGCTCTGGTTCGCCAGAAGCGGCTTAGTCATGCTGGCCACATGACCCAGAAGCTGTACGCTGGCTCCCTCGGCCAATAAAGCCAGATGAGCGCCGCAACCCTAGAGTCGGCCACGACTGGACCCTAATGGTCAGGGGTCCCTTTACCTTTACTATGCATGTATGTATGTGTTGTTGTTCCAAATTTGCTTTAGAGATGATGAAGAAAAGAAAAAATCCCCCTCGGATGGTACCGACGAGAAGGATAATGGAACTCAGTCGAAGTCTGGCAACCGCATAGGCAACTCCGGTAACCCTTTCCTGGACATTCCTCACGACCCCAATGCTGCTGTATACAAAACTGGATTCCTGGCACGTAAAATCCACGCTGATATGGATGGGAAGAAGAGTAAGTGCATTTCAATGAGAACTGTTTTCTCTACATGCTGCGATGGAGAAGGGGGGAGAGGATGAAATGACCGGAAAGCTACATGGGTGCAGCTGCCCAGTCCAACTCACTTGCCCCCACTGCTGCATGGGAATGGAAGTAAAGGGTGCCGGCAGATGAGTCCAGGGTTTCAGAGCAGCCTTTGCACCTTGCAAGCTGGAAGGAGAACTGAAGGGACGTTCACACTGTACAAATCTATGTGAAGCTTACCAAGGAGTGAGCCCCCAGATGCTCAGAGCATTCTGTAAGCGAGGCCTTGTAGAAGGAGGAGGTGGAAGGGTTAGTGTAGGGCTCCAGCCCCTTCCTCTCTGACTGAATATTTTTGCTGTTTCACCAGAGCTCTCCATTTCTCACCTGGCTATTTCTCTTGCACCCAACAAGCTGTAAGATATAAACCCCTTCCACTCTCCCTTCTTCACCAGGGCTTTCTTGAAGGGGAGGCCGGTCACTTCGTATACTGATGATGGCTTCCCCTGCTTAGGCCTGGCTCCTTACTTTGACCCTAGTCCCTCACATATTCCAGCCCAGGCTACATCAAGCATGAGAGACACGACGAATGGCTTTCTCTGCACCCATTTTCACACCCTCCACTAAACTGAAGGGCTTTCTGTCGTTGTCTCGGAGGAAGTGGCTTCAGTGAAAATAGGGCTGGTATATCAATAAGTAGCTGGTAGAATCACAAGGTTAACAGCAGTGTTTCTTCCAAGGATGTATTCAGAGGGCCTTCTCAGTAGTGGCGCCTGCCCTGTGGAACGCCCTCCCATCAGATGTCAAAAAAATAAGCAACTATCCTACTTTTAAAAGACATCTGAAGGCAGCCCTGTTTAGGGAAGTTTTTAATGTTTAATGCTGTACTGTGTTTTAAATATTCAATTGGGAGCCATCCAGAGTGGCTGGGGAAACCCAACCAGATGGGCGGGGTATAAATAAATTATTATTATTATTATTATTATTATTATTATTATTATTATTATTAACAAGACTTATGCACTGTTGCTTATTTCTGTTCCTGCCCCCATCTTAAACAAGGGGTAGATCCTGAACAGAGCACGATCTTGATTTATATTACCAATGGTTACTTATGCATATATATTTTTTGTCCATGTTCTACTTTGACAGCTCCACGAGGGAAGAGGGGATGGAAAGCCTTTTATGCTGTTCTTAAAGGAACTGTGCTTTATTTGCAAAAGGTAAGAGGTTCCCTGCCAAATACACTCCCTTGAACTCCTTGTTGGATGAAGAATAAAGGAGAGGTGTTTCACCCTGTCTTCTTCCTTCGTTGGCTTGTGTGTGTGTTCTGTGCCCAGAAGCCAAGTGAATGATAGTATGGTCTGCAATTACTTCACCTCTCTGAGGCGCTTTAGATGCTCCCTGTATCTGAGCTGCATTTGGCTGTTTCATAGTTTAGGGCAGGAGCGGGAAACCTGTGGCCCTCCAGATGTTGCTGGACTACAAATCCCATCACTCCTGTCCACTGGCCATGCTAGCTGGGTCTGATGGGAGTTGGAGTCTAACAATAATTGGGAGGGCCAGAGGCTCCCCAATATCAGCTACTCTAAAATGAGGCTGCATTTTAAATTGCATTTTAACCTGTATTTTAAATTGGTTCCCCCCTGCTCTCTTTTCCCCCTATTATTTTTTTACTGTGATTTTATTGGTGTTAGCCACCCTGAGCCAGGCTCTGGCCGGGTAGGGCAGGATATAAATAAATTATTATTATTATTATTATTATTATTACTATTATTATTATTACTACTACTACTACTACTATTACTGTTATCCCTGCATTAAGGTCTTATGTGAAGTCAGGGGTGAAGATGAAGGAGCACATGTTGTCTCCCCAACTCCCCCAGAGATACTTAAACTTTCACAAGTTTGGGAAATTCTTCCTCTTTCCCCAGCACTGCATGTGAAACCTGGAAGCACAGGGTACTCAAAAGAGTGGTGCATGTTAAGTCACAAACGTTTCCTCTTTGCTTGTTTCCTTGAAATACCCAGAACACCAAAGTTTTGCCATGAAATAGACACTATGTAATTAGCAAGTGCCAAATGTTTTCACATCTGAAGGAAATTAATGGAGACTGAGGCAGAGATAGAAGGTTACAGGAAACATTTTCTCCCATTATAGATGATAATCCTATCCCTGTTTACAATTAAAAATGAACAGATGGTACTCCGGTTTCTTTGTTTCTTTTTTCCATCCCAACTTTCACAGCAACTGCATTTCATTCTAAGACAGAGAGATGAGCTCCTTTTCTTTTTGATATGTGTGTGTTAGCTAATCCCAAATTCAGCCATTACAAAAGCAATTTTTCAAAAACTGATTTGAAAAATGGAGGATTTTAGCCGACAAGGCAATTGCAGGATTAATTTTTGAAGGAGAGGTCTTTAAGGACATGAATGAAAAGGCACGTGTGGCTTTGAAAAATTACCGAGTGTGTCGGAGTATGTTGCACTTTTGTCATGGCCACTCGACTGCTCTTTGATCTCTTTGGTTTTGTTTTGTTTTTTTAAAAAAAGATAATGTTGTGCAGATGGGCAAATTGCTTACATTTTTCTTTTAAATGGTGGTCCGTCTTCAAGGGAGGGTGCCCAGCCGTGGAAAATGAGCCAATAACTGGAACATTTTTGAAGGATTATTGCTTGCAACATAGGAACCTGCCATACTGAATGAGACAATTGGCTTGTCTAGCTCAGTATTGTCAACATTGATTGACAGCGGCTGCACAGGCAGGAGACATTCTCAGGCCTACCTGGAGATGCTGGAGATTGAATTTGAGATCTTCTGCATGTAAGGCAGGTGTTCTACCAGTGAGCTATGACCCTTCCCAGATATTAATGGAGGAACCCAAGGGTAGCTCAATTGGTTAGAACGTGGTGCTGATAACGCCAAGGTTGCAGGTACGAACCCCGTAAGGGACAGCTGCATGTTCCTGTATTGCAGGCAGTTGGACTGGATGATCCTCAGGGTATCTTCCAACTCTGTGATTCTATGATAGGTTCTTTAGGTAAGTTTTGATAATACAAGGCCCAACTAGTGAACTTTTAGACTGGGAAGGAGCTTGAATTCAGTCTGATACACTACCCACCAAAAGGGTCCGGGTTGACACGTTAACTTCATGGCATCTGGGATCACTTTAGTGTGGTTTCTTCTCACTTCTGTGAGAGTAACATGAGAAGCTCTGAGCCGCTGCCACTCCCGGTAACTGGAACAACATGGTTGTGGAAGGGGAGCTGCAATATGGGACCTTTCCATTTAAGGGCCAGGGCTTCTGACATCGCTTTTGCTGCAGTGGCTCTCACAACATGAAGGTAATGTGAAAGGAGCCCTAAGAGGAAAAGAATTTGCATTCTTAACAGGAATGAAAGTAGCTTCAACTGTGGACTTTTTTCCATAGCAAACATCTCAAGCTTCAACTCCTTTTCCAACGTGATAGCTTCAGAAAGGCATCACTTTTCCACCACCTTGCTTTATGACCTTGACTCAGCCAGTTCACCTCTGGGTGCCTCTGCATTCCTGCTCAGTATTTGTTAAAAAAGAAATGCCTTGATTCATCTCTGCTTCTGTAGCCTGAAGATTGTATCGGCCACAAGCTTAGTCACTGAATGCCAGAGATTCCCTTTTCTGAAACGGAAAAGAAAAGAAACATGGTAAAAGTGGAGAAAAGGAATCTACACAACCCGCAGGACAAACATGCAAAGTCATAGCCTTCAAATGCCATGTTTAATGCCACAGGCCTTGTTTTGAAATATAATTTCTCAGTGGGGGATAATGGAAAATCGAAGAAGTAAGCTGTGAAGAGGAACGAGACACAGAAATTGTGTGACACGGCACCCAGGGTTCTTTACAATGAAGCTGAAGGTAGAAGATACGTAAGGGGCAAGCTTGAACAATTCTGGGAACTGCCAGCTTTTGGGTCAGAGCTAACATTGTCGGACAGAGGGACGCGGGTGGCGCTGTGGGTAAAAGCCTCAGCGCCTAGGGCTTGCCGATCGAAAGGTCGGCGGTTCGAATCCCCGCGGCGGGGTGCGCTCCCATTGCTCGGTCCCAGCGCCTGCCAACCTAGCAGTTCGAAAGCACCCCCAGGTGCAAGTAGATAAATAGGGACTGCTTACTGGCGGGAAGGTAAACGGCGTTTCCGTGTGCGGCTCTGGCTCGCCAGATGCAGCTTGTCACGCTGGCCACGTGACCCGGAAGTGTCTCCGGACAGCGCTGGCCCCCGGCCTCTTGAGTGAGATGGGCGCACAACCCCAGACTCTGTCAAGACTGGCCCGTACGGGCAGGGGTACCTTTACCTTTACCTTTAACATTGTCGGACAGCGACTCACAAAGCACTGGTACAAATACCATAAAATCAAGTTCAGGAAATGCTTTCAGTACTATGGCTAAGCATCTGGAATAGCTTAGTGAGGCAGGGAATGAGTCTATTGTTTTTTGGCAACTTGCTTATTGGAACTAGCAACATCCAGATTTTTCTCCTGAAAGCATTAAGTGGCATAGATTGGGGCAGGCTGAAACTGCCTGCAGTTCCTAAACAACTTAGCAACAAGTGTCCCATGGGTTCAGGAGTGGAGCAAATATATCAATATACATAAGAATGCATAAAGTTCCATCACTTGTGTGGTTAACAGATGACGCAGAATGTGGTTGCGCAGATAGGAACAGGCTTGGTTCTTAATGGCTGGGGGCCTGTTCGTGACAAAGAGTGCAGGAGAGTTCTGTTATTATTTCCTTTATATTTTGCCTTTCTCCCAAATGAGCGCAGGTGGGTATGCAAAACGAGTCCATGGGATTGCAGTCCAAGGCTCTAATCCTACGTACACTTATTTGGAATAGGCCCTGTAATAGACAGTAGGATTTATGTCTGAGTAAACACCTCTTATAAAACTCTAGGGAAATACCATGGGAACAAGGGACCAGTGAAGTCCCTGAGATTGATTGCTCAAGCTCCCAGACCCAAAGGAGCCGCTGCCTAAGCAGAAAGATTTTATTCATTGCCAGACATACCCCCATCTCTTTTCTTGATCTTTTCTGTTGATGTCAAAAACTTTCCTCCTCCAACCTCCATTGTGAAATGTGAATTGGAATCATTTACTACTAAAATTGTAGGTCTGTTAATAGCAGAGGCAATGTCAGTAAAAAAAACCAACCGAGGTGTCATGTCCATTGTCAACAGCAGGTGACAGATTATATAGACTAATAAGACTTAGAGGAGGACCGAACTCATGTACCATTGACAGTTTTGTAGAAGAGTGGATTTCAGCAAGAGCAGATTCCCTTGTAGGGTTGGGAAAAGATGGCCCTGCTGAAATTCTCTCTTACGCAACTATTAAAAGGCACAGCAGCTTCTCCTCTGTTTCCTGAGCTGTGTTTTTTCCTTGCCATACTACTGTTAACAAGCACACAGGCACAGACCCACTCGCTTGATTTTTATAGCATTGTTTCCCATCCTAAAAAACATACTTTGACTTCCAGTTAGCCTTCCTATATAGGATACATTGCATATTAGTCAAAACCCATCTCCTGAACACGGAAGAATCTTTGATTTACCTTTCTTAATATGCTGGCTGCAGGCTGTTCTACAGTGAATTTGCTATGGGTCAGTACTGAGCTGAAATTGATTTAATGAAGAGCTGACCTGTAATGTCTGTCTGCTGAAGACACATTATGTAACCAGTGTGGACGCTACTGGAAGTTGTTTTTATGACATTTTTCCCTTAATAATGTTAAAAAAACAAGCAGCCCCCAACAATTTACTTTGGAGATGTCATATAAGCAAAGCATTCACTGCTGGGGATGGGAAATGGAAACCACAGTGGCAGATCAGGGGATCTTGCCACAGAGCAGCCTACTGCTGTGTAAATGTGGGATTATTTTTTTACTCATCAAGAGTTTTCAAAAGTAGACGGCCAGATCCAACAGTGATTAAGCCCTTAAGAACACAAGACGATCCAAACTTGTGCTATGGTAGGATCTCTCAATCTCTCTCTCTCTCTCTCTCTCTCTCTCTCTCTCTCTCTCTCTCTCTCTGTTTCATAGAGAAACTCCTTCTTGAACATTGCACATCACTCTAGCAGATGATAGACAACGGTGTCTTGTACATTAGGAAAATTGTAATTGGGAAAATATTAGGAGATTATGATGTGGTAGTAGAGGTAATGTTTTGCTTGCAGAAGGATCCAAGTTCAAATCCTGGCATCTCCAGTTAAAGATTATTAGGTTGCAAATGCTTGTTTTGAATCTGAAATGCTAAAAAAAAACCCAAACATTTAAATAGCAGCATTTTTGTTTTTAAATACATAAGTTAATCCTATGCAGATTTACTCCAAAGAAAGTCCCAAAGAGTTCAACAGTGCTTACCCCCAATTGTTTGCATGGGATTGCAGTCTTAAGTATCAGTGCAGTGGGATTTATCTCTGAATAAACATACATAGGGTTGTAGCTGCATATGGGATTGTTGGTTTGTTTTTTGCCAAGTTAGATGACTCTTTTAAATAACACTTTTGTTTATTGCCTTCTTTTGAAATGTAATCAGGCTTTAAAAACACTGGCACTATATAATAATTTGTACTCTCTTAATTTGGGCTTCTGCAGGATGAATACAAACCAGATAAAGCTTTATCAGAGGAAGATCTTAAGAATGCAGTCAGCGTGCACCATGCATTAGCATCGAAGGCGACAGACTATGAGAAGAAGCCAAATGTTCTGAAGCTCAAGACAGCTGACTGGAGGGTCCTGCTTTTCCAAGCCCAGTAGGTTCCCTTTTGGTTCCTTTAGGGATTCAAGCAAAATATGCTCACAGTCAAGGGTGGTGTGTCTTCTCACACTGGATTTTAAAAAATAAATAAATTATTCTTGAATATAAGATAGTATGAAAATGAAAAGAAGAAGAAGAGTTTGGATTTGATATCCTGCTTTATCACTACCCTAAGGAGTCTCAAAGCGGCTTTCCCTTCCTCCCCCACAACAAACTCTCTGTGAGGTGAGTGGGGCTGAGAAACTTCAGAGAAGTGTGACTGGCCCAAGGTCACCCAGCAGCTGCATATGGAGGAGCTGGGAAGCAAACCTGGTTCACCAGATTACGAGTCCACCGCTCTTAACCACGACACCACAAAGGCATAGACTCCATACTGTAGCTCAGTAACTCAAACTAGTTTTGAGCCAGCAAGCTGAGGGTATCACAGGATAGGCTCTCCATCTTTTTGCATGGCAGAATAGTTGCTTGTAGCTGAGAGTAGAGTATGCCAGGAAAGGGGAGAAAAGAGCCAGGCCCTTCTTCCAGCTCATCAAACCCCTGCTGTTCCATCAGTCACTCATCAGCCTGACAGCTGGTGCAGTTTAGTATCAGTTCAAATTCCAGTAACACAGCTGTGATCCCTTTATTTGAACTTGCGTGAAGGCATCGACCTGGTGTGCAGCACCCCAACCCTGTTCAGATGCGGCAGCAGATCCTGTTTTGACCCTGATGCTACTGATTGGATAATCAATGGAGCCGCAAGACAGAGGTGGGGTTGGGGTCACTAAAACTCCTAAACGTTCCATTTTCCTCACTGGAAATCCATTCTTCATTCAGTGTCTGTACTTGGTTGGGGCACTGCTATGAATTCAGTTGCTATGCCACCCACCTTCTGCCTAATAGACTCAGGTTTTAAAAAAATATTAATATTTTTATTGAAAAAATTTCAATTTTAAAGAAATAATGTGGTACTAATGACAAAAGGGAAAGGGGAGCTGAGAGCAAAGATGCATATAAAAGTGAAAGATAGAAAACAATAATAGCTGAGGTGACAGAGATAGCTTGACTACACCCTCCAAACCAAACATGATTATCATCAAATGAAGGAAGTTAATGCCCAAATAGAGCTTTAGTCGTTTTCTGGAATAGGGAGTCCAACCGAAAAGCAGTATAAAACTGATGGTGTTTTGTTTTGTTTGGTCTTGGCCAAAACCAAAGCATCATCTCCATGCTGTTCTATTTTGAATAGTAAAGAAACATTTACAACCCAGTACCCAAGGTGGTATTGAGGAACAATCTGGCTGGAAGTATCCTTGGCCCTTGCTAGTCACAATTGCTTGTGAGCTTTGAGCTTTTTTGTTTTTTGTTTACTCTTGAGGGAACTGGCAAGGATCTGGTGGAGTGCAGCCAACCACTAACATTCTTGTCATTTCCCCCCATGGAAGTTTCAAGCCAGCATAAGAAACTATAACCAAGCCTTTGGCTGATTATCGTTCTGTGGTATTTTAGATGTGTTTGTGGGGTGTGGGTGGGTGTTTTGTTATGTATTTTGTGTTCTCGTTTCGTATTTTTATGTTGCAAACCACCCTGTGATCTTCGTATGCTGTATACAAATTCAATAAATAAATAAACTGGAGGCAATAAATACTTCACTGAGAGAGAAAGCTGCCTTGTCGCAATGAACGAAGCAATGAGTAGACTGCAGTTGAAAACCATCACTGAAGTCATTTAATACTGCAACCTATAGATACGTCTCTCTATTGTGCCATTCTTTGGGAAGGTGATTGAATGTGCAACAGTGTCCAGCTGTAGGCAATCCCAGATGAGCAGATTATCTAGCCCCTTATCCTTCTGATTTCCCGGGGACTGTTTATGGGCTTCCTACTGCTCTGGTGGATGACTTCTGCTGGGAGAATTAAAGAAGGAGTGCCATTCTGTTTAATTATCCTAGATGAATTGATTGTGGTACCCTTCTGGATAGCTTTTGTGGTTTGGGAACACTGCCATGCAGTAATGATCCCTGAAGAGGCTAGGCTACTTCTTCTTCTCCCACGGCTCTGGCTCTTTCCAGGTTAAATATTTCAGCTGCATTTGAAGCTTAGTGATAAAGCACCAAGTATTAGACAAGGTAAACATTTCACCTATTAGGAGAAGGGAGGCTTCTAGGTTAGACCAACCTCTAGCAAAGGATGGAGAAAGAAGCCGGTGGAATCTTCCAAGCAGTGCAGTCAGTGCCCACTGTCCAGTATTGAGATGCTGAAGTAGGAAATATGATTCAGAGCAGCAGTTCCTTTTAGGGCAGAGCAGATGCTGGAGAGAAAGCAAAACAGACAAGCTCCCAGACTGACTGACCTTTTGCTCTCTTCCGCAGGAGCCCGGAAGAAATGGAGTTGTGGATCAACAAGATCAATTCTGTGGCAGCCGTTTTTTCTGCCCCACCATTTCCAGCTGCTATTGGATCCCAGAAGAAGTTTAGCCGCCCACTGTTACCTGCTTCCACAACCAAATTGTCTCAGGTGATTAATCTACAACCCTAAGTGTATTTCAAGTGTGCATCTAATGAGCCACAGAAAGCTCCCCCCACCCCCCGTTTGCAAAGAGCAAACCATTGATAGGGCAAGTGCTTGAATTTAGGGAAGGGGGGGTGCTTGTAGGTGTTAAACGCCCTGTTTGAGGACATTTTTCAGATTAGTCCAGACCCATGTGAGCTGAAGCAAAACGCTGTAGCAAAGTGGAGCAGAGCTTGCAGTAGGAGGTGCTCAGTCTTCCATGAACGCTAGGCCCAGAAGTTGAAATGATGCTCTTGAGCATGCCTGAAACATTGGACACTTTTGAGGATGGGTAGAAATATTTCAAGTAATAACCAGTAAAATGTTGTTGCACAATCGGTTGGAATATATAGAGGGGAGGGCAAGAGAGGCACTGCCTGCAGCCTTCTGCATTCAATACCTTTGTTAGTCTTGAGCACCCATTACTGGGGAAAAGGCAGGTTTTGCCCTCATAGTGAGTGGCAGCTACTTAACTTGTACAGGGGAAAGTTTAGGGGTTTACTTGGAAACAGAGTTTGGCTGGAGGCAAAAGTCTTTGCTTGTTTTGCTGGACCCAGCCTCCTTCCAGCCTTTGAGAATCAATCATGTTTTGATCTGGCCCTACCATATCATCTGCAGAACTTCCTTAATTCTGTTAAATTGTGACAAGAGTGCTGAGACTGATATTTAGACAGAGGCACTTCCAGACAACCTGTTTATTGAGCGTTCATCCTTATATCACGACAATGGCTATATAATGAGCATACATTCTCAGTTGTTTGCAGGGTGGTTAGATGATGTGGCATCAAAGCAAGTGTTATCCCACACTTTCCAGTTCTTTCTTCTGCCACTTTCCTTACAGCAAAAAGTGCAATCTTTTGGGGAAGCAGATTTGTTTCACAAATCATTGTGAAACCTGAATTTGCTAGAACACAATGGAATCCTACCCCAAAATAGCCACTGTCCAGAAGCACACAAACAGACAGAGCCACTTTTGTGGCCAGGTCTCTTGCTCACTTGTTCTTTCTCTTCCTTGCTGCTATGAACTGGGCCTGCAATATTATTTTACCCTGTATTAAATCCCAGGTTAGCTTACAGATTTTGATTATTCTTTTGATTTGCCACAGTACAGAAACTGGTGCCTGGCTGCATAATTTCCTGTTTCAGCTACCCATTCAGGAAAGTAGGGCCTTGGTTGGTAGAAAGAAGAGAAGGAGAAGCGAAAGGACAGGAGCTGTTTTAAGCCAAAAGGCAGGGACAAAAAGTGTTGTGCTTTCCAAGGAGATAAATTCAGGCATAATCTGAGAACCGTCTGTTTTTATCTGTGAGATAGAGAACTTGCCAGCAGGCTCCTGCGTATACTGCAGAGGATGAAATGTGTACTGTCAACTCTGCCTGGCTGCTGTATTAGAAGTTGCTGCTCATATCAAGATGTGACTACACATAGAGTTGCTTTCGCAGGCTCTGTTTCTGTACCCAAGATCCAGAATGGAGTAGATAAGGAAGGAAGGAAGGAAGGAAGGAAGGACAAGTAACTGCTTCGGGCCCTAATCCAGATCAGGACCATGGCATGTGGGGAGAGCAGGATCTGCCTATTTCCCTGCACAATTTTTCTCCATGAAACCCCCACCTGCTTATTTGCCCCTAAAGATGCCATTTTCTGCAACAGGGGAAAATAGCACCTTGGGGGGGGGGGGGTTCAGGGGATGCCTGAAGATGCCAGATTAAGGCCCCTCCAGTTGTTATCTCTCTTCCTTTTTGTTGAAAAGAAGCTCAGGATAGAGGGTTCTGTGGTAAACATGTAGTCCAGCCTGGGTCACCATTTTTACTGTAGTGACCCAGTTCAGACATTTAATCTCCCAGTTCCCCAGTGCACTGTGGGCTCCTCCCCCCACCCCCCACATTGTATGTGAATTGCCTCCCCTTCTCCATGGTTTACCATAACAGTAGTTATGCCAGAGTTGAGCAAGCTGTAATTAGCATTAACCAGAAATAGCTTTGAAATCATGCTCAGATAGGTTTATAGACCATAATTTTGAGCAGTCCTCGTTTGTTCTGACCTTAATTGGTCCTGAACGAGAGGCATAATAGTTGTGTTTGCATGCAATGCTAACCTAGGGCAAGCATCCCCAAACTCGGCCCTCCAGATGTTTTGGGACTACAGTTCCCATCATCCCTAGCTAACAGGACCCGTGGTCAGGGATGATGGGAATTGTAGTCCCAAAACATCTGGAGGGCCGAGTTTGGGGGTGCCTGGTTTAGTGCTACATGGGCAAGTTGCAGCAACCACTGGGCTCATGCAATCCCCTTCTCCCAGCATTGTCACAAGAAAAAGATAAGCAGCTTTGAGTTTTGAGTACCTGCCGCTTAGCGGTCTGAACCATAGAATGTGCTTAAATTTTACTAAAGTTTGTTGGAAAAAGCCAACTTCATAGCAGTTCATTAGCCACTGTTGTCTGAGTTTGGACGTCAAGATAAGCCGCAGTTCGTCTAAAATAGAAGTGAAGTATAAATAAATGAGGGATGCGGGTGGCGCTAGGGACGTGGGTGGCGCTGTGGGTAAAACCTCAGCGCCTAGGACTTGCCGATTGTCAGGTCGGCAGTTCGAATCCCCGCAGCGGGGTGCGCTCCCGTTGCTCGGTCCCAGCGCCTGCCAACCTAGCAGTTCAAAAGCACCCCCGGGTGCAAGTAGATAAATAGGGACCGCTTTCTAGCGGGAAGGTAAACGGCGTTTCCGTGTGCTGCGCTGGCTCACCAGATGCAGCTTGTCACGCTGGCCACATGACCCGGAAGTGTCTCCGGACAGCGCTGGCTCCCGGCCTCTTAAGCGAGATGGGCGCGCAACCCCAGAGTCGGACACGACTGGCCCATATGGGCAGGGGTACCTTTACCTTTACCTTATAAATAAATGAGCATCCAATAGTTACAGTTAGCTGACCAGGTCTCTTGACTGACCCTCCAGAAAGTTATTTGTTGGTAACATTTCTCTGTATTTGTGTTACCTGGTTCAAAACAGCCCCTAGCAATATATTATGATACCTGTAGTTAGTATTCTTGTCCCTTTCCTTTACGTTTTCTAAATATACTAGAGGTTCGCTGTGACATATACTATTGTCTCCTGCAGGATGATCAGCTGAAATCACATGAAAGTAAACTGAAGCAAATCTCCACTGAACTAGCTGAGCATCGTTCCTACCCACCAGATAAGAAACTTAAAGGCAAGGAAGTGGAGGACTACAAACTGAAAGATCATTATCTGGAATTTGAGGTATGTCTGGGTCAGCCATGGCAGAGCACCGTTACAAAGATAGCCACTGCAGAAACAGTGGAAATTATCCTGTTTCATAGGATAATTAATAGTGGGCTGGCATTTAAATAACTGTTTCAAAGCAAAATTGCAGAATGTCATGTTGTGTGGGCAGTAGCCAGATAAAAACGTTAGTAGTTCAAAGTATCTGGATGTATGTGGAATCCAGCAAAAGTGAGAACCATAAATGCTAAATAGAAAAGTAAACCTGAAGGGAGAAGCAGCTGTGTGAGTTGAGTCCCCTTCCTCTGCCTGCTGGCTTAAAGGCTGTAAGGGACAGGTACATATTCAGAAGAGAAACTCCTTCGGTGCAGAGTCCTCAGCTGACCTAGAAGGATCAGTTGAGGATTGGGGGTTTGTTGCCTGTGTGTTTGTTGTGCATGTGACTGAGAGTGAGGTGGTCACGCTGACCACTGCCACACAACTTCTTTAGGGTTGGCTGAGGGTGAATGCATTCTTTGAGCCAAGAAAAAATCCGCATCTATTGCAAAGCATTCTGGGGCATGTTCTGGGTCTTGTTGATCGCCTCGTGTCAACTGAGGGTGCACTGTCAAGCATAGACTCCGGCTGTTGGTTGCGTAAGAAGATAAACAGATGAGCGAACTGTCTTTCAGGAAAGCTTCTCTGCCTTCGGTAGTTTTCTAATTGGAAGACCTTTATAAGTTTCCCAAGAGCCCTGTAGATTGGGGTGGGGGGTCGGGGGAGGCGAGAAAGATGCCACAACTTTTTGACTGACAGCAGCGGAGGCAGAAAAACACCAGGACTTTAGAATTACTGTATGATGACCCAGCATCTGTAGCTCCGTTTCCTCTTATTACAGCTCTCTGGCGTATACATTATCTGATGAAAAATGAATCAGCCCAGAGCACTATCAGCATTCATCTCACAAGTTCCCTTATTTGTGAGTGACATGCTTTAGCTATTTAATTTATTTGTCTCCTCACTGCTGGTGGAAGTATAGATACCAAGTGTATGGCTGTCTTTCTTCATTTAATTTTAAAGTGGATTTTTCTTGCGATCTTTTTCTGCATGAATCTATCTCTTCAAAAGCTCTTTGGAAAGGCCATTCATAGCCATCTTTTTCTCTCTCTCTCTCGCCTCCCCTTTCATAAAGGCCTTGAAGTCCTCTTGCATTTGAATAATAATGATTACCTGAATTTTGTTTTTTGAATTAAGAGTGTGTGCATTTTCCCCCTCATTGTGGCATGCAAATAACTTGACAATCGGTTTTTCTCCCCTTTGAAAACCGTGTGGGCAACTGGTGGAACTTCATCAACATTTGCACTGATTCATTGGAGACGGGTCAGAAGACGGCATTGTTAAATAAAATTATTCTGGAAGGCCAGAGTGTGCATTTTGCAACTCTTAAAAGCCTTTTTCTGAATCCCAGCTAATCACTAGTTATTTGAGTTAATCACAGAGCCATTGTATGAGGCTGCAGATAGAACTGCCCTACAACAGAGGGCTGCGTGCTGTTCTAGACAGTGAATAAATTCAGCAGTTTGCTCCTTGCAGAAATACATAGGGTCTCCTGCAGCTCAGTATTTTGGGCCTGGTGTGCTTAGTAGATTTGTACCTGGAACAGAATGTGCTTGAAATGCCACAGTCCTCCCAGCCGAGGGGCAGCAAGGGTCTGTACCTTAAAAATTAATTCAGAGCGAGGCCATAGCTCATTGGTATGCAATGCACAGAGAAGAGCCAAAGTTCTTGCCTTGGCTTCTCTAGGAATGCCATTTTGACATCATGATACCGAATGCCTAAAAATCTGAACAGAAAGGCAAGAACCAGCTATGTGCTTAAGGTTCGTTGAAATCTTTAGCAGTCAAGCACCCACCCACCCACCTGTGTGAAAGCCTCTCTTTTGACATACAGATAAAGATATTTACTGCTCAGAAATGGGCAGAAAACAATAAATGGCTCCTGTGTTTTCAGACTTCCTAGCCTATAGCAGTAAAAAGTATCCAGGTCCTGTAGCACCTTAAAAACAAAGTATGCTGAATTACATCCTTCTCCAGCCTTGGGTCTCCAGAAGTTGTTGGACTAGATCTTCTATCACCCTGGACCATTGGCCATGTTGACTGGCCAAATTTGCCCATTTCATTTCCCCACTTTTTGAGACTTGTTGGCTAGTTCATCATCGGGGAAACTTTCCAGGTTGATAGTAATTACAATAATCTAATGCCCTAAAGCCCTTGGAAGTATTAGTCCAATTATTCTGTAGGACAGAAATGTTCAACAATTGGACACGTATAAATGTACAGGTTCTCATTGGCTCTTGGGGATCTAATTGTGTCAATGTTCAGTGTAAATATGCAGTTCCAAAATGAAGGGGAGGCTTCTCTGATTCATGGAGAAGGGCATTATCTACTTCATCAAAGAGATGGGGGTTTGTCTTGCTGTACCTAAAATTACAGTGCTTGTGACTGATCCGGTATATTTTCCATATTAATATTATGGACTGATTGTAAAGACTAGTAACTGGATTTCAAAACTTTGCAACAAAACCTTGTTGAAGCCTTGCTATATAAGTAGACGGCATCCAAGGATTACAGATAAAACAATTCAGGGTTGTTGTTGTTGTTTTGATGGTGTATACCTTAACGAACAATAGTTACATGCACACCCAGACGTTTTACACATCTTACGAGCTAGCTCCCTGTTTGTTTTCTTAAAAATTATTCTGGTATATTGCCCAAGAAGACATATTCTAACTTCTGTATGTTTTCCCCACCCACCACCAGATAGACATTCCATCATAGAGGGGGCAGACATTTATTCCACTTGGACTCCTGCTCTCCTCCCCCCATATACCCCCATGCCCCCCAAAATTGGTTTGTGTCAGGAAATTCCACAAAACAACATGTGAGGGGAATCATTTAGTTAGGCAAGCTGAAATACTTGTGCTGACAGAGGAAGCAGAAGAGTATGATGTTGAATTCCTACCACAGAAGACCTTCCTCCCTTAAACCACACGTAGCTGTTGATCTACCCAAATTAGGTTGGAATGATGGAGGAAGTGTTGGAGTGATCACAGCTGTAAATCTGTTCCCTAGAACTTGTTACCGATCCACCTCTTCCAGATGTTCCACACACCCCAAGTGAGGCCCGTCCGCAGTATGGGAACCACTGCTTTAGGCAAAATCCAATGGTAACTTAGGGATGTGTGGGACATCTCCACCTCCACTCTCCCAAAATATTGATAGTCTTGGTGAGACTCTTTAGATTTTCCTCAAATTTCCTCAAATGTTTTGCCTGAGGAGGAACCACCATCCCCCCCCCCCCAATTTCACTTCAGGAGAAATTTCTGTGGCATCTCAGTTTTCTTGCTACCCATAAGGCAATTTGCTATAGTTATGCTGTGCACTTGCTGTGCAGGTGAGTAGGTCCTCTCACCTGGGAAGAAATCGCCTTGCTTGACTTCCTTCATATATCACTGAAGTTACGCTGTAGATTGAGTCTTTCTTTTTCTCACCTTTTTTCTTTTTCAGAAAACTCGGTACGAAACCTACGTGTCTCTTCTCACAGAGGGAGCCAGCAAGGAGTTGCTGAGCACCAATGAGAATGACGGCCTGGGACTGAAGAAATGCCACTCAAGCCCCTCATTAAATCAGGAGTCCCCTCTTAGTGCCAAGGTGAAGCGTAACATCTCCGAGAGGAAAGACTATAGACCCGAAACACCGAGCATCAAGCAGAAGGTTACTTAGGGCAACTGAGGCAGGCTGGAGGAACAACATGATCACTCGCTCTTTGATAACCTGTCCTTTGCAAAAACAAAACAAACAAAAATTAACACATCTGCCTGAATGGGGTGTTAGTGACATTTTCAATTGTAAATTTTTGTTGTTTCTGTACAGGTTGTTGGAGATGTTTTGGCTTCTGACTTGCATTTGCCTAGTTCATTTATCATAAAGCAATTGATCCAGTCCTTTTAAAAAGAGAGAGAGAGAGAAGGAAAATAAGGTACAGCAAGGAAGAGATTTGATGATGTATTCATCTCTCTCATCTTTTTATCTTACTTTGTTGGCTTGTAATTTTCATATCTCAAGTCTTCTGCTGCTTCCCTGCAGTAGGGCAAGTAACTGGACAAACCGAAGCTTACTGAGTCATTTAGCTTTGTGAACGGATTCTTGCATTTTCCAAGGTGGCACAATAGTAGTCTCACTGTTAAAAGAGACTAGGTGAAACTGCACATCCTTGGGGGAAATTAAGTTTCCAAGTGCTGCAGAGCTCTGTAACTAACATGTGGTGGGAGCCGTGTCAATTGCTAGACTGTGAAAAAACCCCAGTTGTGATCTCTGAGCCCCACACGCTGTAAGGGGCTGAAAAGCGAAGGAAAAAAATGGTGTTAACAAAGCTAGCATATACTAGATTTAGACACCAAGGAAGGCTTTTGGTGATCTGAAATGGCTCCAACCAAAACTGGGTTATTTTTCCATTTCATTGAACTGAAGGTCTTATCCATGGACTTCTCTGTTTATCAGCAAGTTGTGCTACCTGTACAGTTTTCAGCAGTATCTTAGTCATACAATTGCTGTACAGACAGCTGTAGTGTGTATTTATTTTCCATTGGCATTACGATCCTCCTCCAGAAGTATGTTCAGGCACTTTATAGTCTAAAAGACTGCAGCTGAGAATTTCTCTCTGAATGCTGGAACGTCTGAAGGGACAGCATGTTACTCAGTTCCCTTCTGTAACTAAAAGTCACGAAGACCTAGAGATACGGTGTTTGGAATGACAGCTAGATTCTTTCTTCCTACAAATGAAAAACTGGCTCCATTCCAGCCACCCTGTGCCAGCTAGCAGATCCCTCCAGCTAAAATATCACCCACCATAGATAATGCCCTCCGCATTCTGTTTCCTTTCATCGCAAAGAGAACATGGGCTAAGAATAAAAATGATAGATTTTCCCGTTGGCTCCCAGAACAGGCAGCTCAAAGTTAAGGACACACATTGCTCCCGTATGTGATGGATGAGGAACCTGCGGCTGTTCAGCTGTCGTTGGACGGCAACTGGCATAATCTCTGGCCATTGGCTATGCTGCCTGATCCTGATGGGAATTCAGCAAAGTGTCCACGGGTTCCCCATCCCTGCTGTTGATCTGGGGGCAGTGTGTGTGTATGTGTTTCTGTCTGTCACAGACAGGGTAAAGGGTGAGCTTCCACTTTCCCATGAAGCCATCTGCCTCAGAGATGAGGAAGAAGGACTATAGTGACATGCTGTACTAAATCAAAAGCCGCCATTTGCCAGGACACAGGCTAGGTGCAACTAGAAGTGTTGCTCTATCCCTCAGTCTCTGTGGCGAAAGGCGCATGTTCCTGGCATTGGCAGTCAGAGTGGCAACTAGTTGAGATTAATCCAAGAAGTGGGACAGGAATCCCTTGTCACCTGCACCTTCCTAGGGAGACCCAACCTGTAGCTGAGAATTGTCAGTCCTGTTACGTTATGAAGGGCGAAACCAGCCATTAATGTAGACCGGTTGATAGTTACTGTGAGAATGAATGAGCCCAGAAGTGTGGCATTTGTGAGGCAGTGGCTCGCAAGTTCTTCTGCCGTAGCTCATTTTTCACCAGTGGTTCAGAAAAGTCAGCAAGCTGTCCAGTTATAAAGAGAAGAGAGAGACAGCAATAAAGTGACAGAACCGATTAGCATTGTCTGAGAAGGAAGAGGTGACCTTGGCTTCACTGCTGTGCGTATCGTCTGGTGGAGTGCAGGCAAAAAGTGAAGATGACTTTAAAAAGATGGGGGGGAGGAAACGCCCACTGTTTTGAAAGCTGGGGAAGCAGGTAGAGGTGAGGAAAAAAGAGAGATTGCAGTTACCAACATGTGCAAAGCCATGATATTGCATTGTGATTCTCTCTGGCGTTTTCCGTAGATGGAACAAATTGAATTATTCAGGAGCCTTCTGTGTTGCTTGGCTGTTGGCCTCTATGGCTGTTTGCTGAGTGTTGCTCAGTGGTGTTTGCAAACTCTAGAATAGCAGTTTTTCTTGGAATGGCTGCGACGTAGGTTCTGGCATGGTGTTCACCCTAAAGTTTGGAGTAGGAATTATCAGGTGGTATTCACCTTGCTTCCACTGAAGATGCAGAGTCACGGGGTGGTCAAGATTTGCACAGTTAAACCACTGTAGTCTGATGATCAAAGGAGAGGTAGTGACTCTTTATACCCTTCCTTTGGAGGTTAATGAGCTTTGCATCAGCTAAGATTTGGGAAGGGAGGATACATATTGCAGTCATGCAACAACTGGGTGACCCAGTTACGACTCTTTTGAAGGAGAGATGACAGTGTGTGTGTGTGTGTGTGTGTGTGTGTGTGTGAGAGAGAGAGAGAGAGAGAGAGAGAGAGAGAGAGAGAGCACAGAGGAGCTGATCCAGTATAATGCCCATATTTGTGTCGGTTACAGTATGCTTTAGGGTGCCCAGATGCACAGCTTTGTAAGAGTTTCAGGCTGAGAAAAGCTGCTCCCTCTCAGTCTACCTCTTCTGCAACTGTTTAAAGGCACACAAGCACTATCATCTTTTGCATTTCCCCCTATATATACCCACCCCTTGACAATCTGCACTGTGGGGCAGAGAGCTTTTCTCTTGGCCAGATAGCACTGTCTTGGGGGTCTCATCTGAGAGGTGGGTGACGCAGACATTGTTGGAGGCTTAGGGTTGCACTCGCTGTAATGCCTACTCAGAATAGACCCAGTGAAATTAATAGACACATCTAATTTTGGGCCATTAATTGCAGCAGGTCTGTTTAGAATGAAGCTTAGTTGAATGCAACCCTTAGTACTTGGTACCACTTCCTAGGTGCAAGTTGGCAGTGTCTTTTAGAGCAGTGGGTGGCTTTGTATTCTGGGGGACAGGAGTACTTGTTTTGTCTGCCTGACAGTGGCCCTTGGGCTGGAACTGCCTTTTGTGCAAACCTGATCCCTTCACTGATGGTTCTATGAGTCTAAGGATGGTTTGAGCATGGTTTCCAAAGAGAATGAAAGAACATTAAATTATAGAAGATCTCTCTCTCTCTCTCTCTCTCTCTCTCTCTCTCTCCACACACACACACACACACACACACACACACACACACTTTGAGTATTATTTTCTTTCCTGAATGAATGAATCTGTGGGTGTTTAGTGACCTGGATTGACCCAAAGGCCAATGGCCATCTTTGCTTTAGAAAATTGGCAGGGAGAGGAGAGCGGAAATCAGTAAAAGAGCTGAGTACTGGTAGTTCAGGGAAAGGAAGGAAGGAAGGGCACCTGGGGAGATCCGTATCCTGAAAGGAAGGTTCCCCAGTGAAACATTCACCTTGCTCTTTTGCCCATGGATAAAACATAGCTACTACTGACATGCCATCCTCTTTCCCCCCCACTTCCTGTTGTTGAAGAAGCTAAGGATGCAGACTGAGCCTGTTGTACACCATGTTCCTGTGTGGTAGCTTAAAAAGGCTGGGTAACCGCAGAGAAATCTTCTGCTGATCATTTTGCAGTACTGCAGGGCACCAAAATAGCCCCTGAGATGGCAGTTTTAAGTTGCACAATTGAAAGCTGGAGTGTGCTTCACACGTGCTCTCGTTCGCAATGTGTACCATAATGAATGCCGAAGCCTCATTGTGAACGTTGGCGGAGCAAATAAATTGAAATGCTGCATTTTATATCTGTTCTTTTTTATTTATTTTAAGAACCGTAGGGGAATTCTAATTATTTATTACTAGCAAAATGTCCGTCATGATGACGGAGCGTATGTGTTGAGGGAGTGCTTGTAAATTGCAAGGACAGACCCCACCCCACCCCCCATTCCCACCCTGCGCCTTTCAGATAGCATCTCTGTTAGGCCCCAGAAGGTTTTGCTTTCAGTGCAGCATTGTTCCCAAGAGTAGCTCTTTGCTTTTTCTCAAAGCACTGCATTTATTTTTCCTGTATATTTGCTTCACGGGAGAAAACTGAAAAATGCACTTGAGGAAGCTAAGCTTTCCCCCACCCCTGGTGACACAGGGACTCCAGCCGTTTGGGGCTCTGTTTCTTGGTCACGCTAGAATGCGACTGAACTATGGGTTGTGGCTTTTATATACATTCAGATACTTCTTTTATATTCACTTGAGAAGCAAGCTATAGTTGTTCTGATCTAGCATTTCCATAGTGGTGATAGGGACATACATACTCAGACAAAGCTGAACGTTGATACAAAAGTACATCCCTACCTGGAATTATAAGCCATGTGCTTGACCTTAACTGGGGCCGGTTATTCCTTGGAATTATGCCTTGTTATTCTTTTAATCACTTCTCTTTCTTCTTCTCACCCCTCTTGGCCTTAACTTTCACCCCTGGATCTGTTCTTTGTGCAACAGCTCCACATTCCACAACACAACACTGCAGAGTAGTGTCTACATCCATGTGCATGTTAACTTGGCTTGTACAGTATATTTATAAATACTCTGTTGATTGTACAGTATATTTATAAATGGTTGGTTGGTTGGCTGGTCGCTTGCTTGCTTTTAAAATTGAGAATCCACATAGTCCTCAGTGTAGTAGCAATCTGGGTTTTCAAATGGAAATAGGATTGCAAGCAGCGCTTAACCTTCTGTACAAGAATTGACCTTTAATGGAGGGTGGCCGACTAGGCTCAATGGGGCGCTGCTCCACCCATGTTAGTCACTCCTTAGCCAGTTCCCACTAGCCTACCTTCTTACTTAAAACCAGTCCAGGGAGAGGCACTGGCTGTCAGCTTCTTCCCCCTTAGTCTCAGTGTTGCCCTTGCAGAACTCAGCGGGGAGGAGAATTGGAATAAAAGTAGAATTAGTTGGCTCTACCTCTCATTGGCACTGGTTCTGTCTACTGTTTGGGCTCCCTGCATTCCACCCCACCACCTTCGATGGGCACCAGCCAGAACTGATGATGAGGTTATGATGAGATGGCCAAAACAGATTTGTAAAGTGTTGCTTTGTCTGCTCACCTACCGCAAGTAAGAATTGTCTCCAGGGAAACCATTCAGGATAGCTTTAGAAAATTCATTTACACAAATGACTAGCGTGGGTATGTGTGGGCAGATAGGCTTATAGAACTTTGGGTGTTAGTAGTTTCTGTGGTCTAACTTGCAAAGCTGGCCCAAATGCATCTTCAGCCGATGGGTTTTTGCCTAATCTGGTTGCTCTCACACAAACTGAAATGGTTGGAAAGTATTCCAAATGCTGATTGCTCCCCATCATGTGCACATGCGCAGAGCTCTCTAAGTCAGTATTTCAATTTTCCTCTGAGGAGTCTATAAGTAAACTAAGTTCTGCTAAGCTGAGATCTTGCATCTGTTCCTGTTTTATTGCAATTAGATGCTAAGTAAAAATTATCTTTGAGAAAGAAAGAAAGAAAGAAAGAAAGAAAGAAAGAAAGAAAGAAAGAAAGAAAGCTCTTCGTTTATTTAAAAAAGACGATTTACAGCCTAGCCATTGTTCAAGGAGTCATTTATATTCTCCTTTAATTGTGAATATGACATTCCTGAGCTCAGGAAGCTTCTGGCAGACAGTTTGTATGGCATATGTGCTTGCTTTTAACATCTTGCAGTCATATCTTGCAGCTTCTACAACTTGGCACCTTCCCTGTGCCAAATTTGTGATCCGTTCCCAGGATCACTCCAAATGGTGGATTAAATCAACTTAATTTTCCGATTTGCAATGTGCCCTAGGTACCATTGTCTGCAAAGAGGTAATGTGCTCACGTTTCTCAGCAGACAGACTTGTCTGAAAATCAGTGATTGATTTAAATTCCTCTTTCAGACTGTCAAGACTGCTTTAACTGGTACACGGCAGAACAAAACTGTCTTTTCATCAGGCACTGTGCTAGAGTTTACTAGGTTGCCAGACATGGCTGCAAGTTTCGGAAGAGATTGGGGTCTTTATGTGAATATTTTTAAGCAAGCCTCCATCTCTAAGCCTCAGCTCCCCGTCTGCAATAGGCAGAAGATAGCACTGGGATGCCAGATAGGGTTGTTATAAGGCTTGCTGTGATAATTTATGTTCAGTGCTTTGAACACTCTGGAAATGTTCAAGTGCTAAGAATGATTCTATCCCAAATTTCTGGATTTCATTTTGAATTTGGGCAGAATGAAAAGATGCGGATGGCAGGAGCATAGTGGGTCAGTACCGTGTCTGGGCTATTGCCAAGGAAAACAGGCAAGATCATGAGGCAAAACATGAACTTTTGCTAAATAATGGGTCTTGTATTCTTGATGAAAAGGCCTGTAAAATATTTTTGGACAGCTGGCTAGTGTCTCCTCAAAATAAAAAAACAACAATTCTTTATAGAGGCATATCGTAGCACTTAGGAGGTCATGCTGCATGTGAATTTTGCCTTGAGAACTTGAATAGACTGGCAAATTTAGAACTTAAATTTCACCTTGTACTAGTAACGTGTGCCATGCCTTTTAAGTGACTGTGTGTTGTATGGCAGGTAGCTGTTGTGGCAAAATACAATAGTTCTCCTATTGTATAATGAGATTATTGTTTCTGGGTGCTTTGTTTTAGTCATCATTTCCTATCTCCCCGCCCCCCCCCAAACAAAATCAGCTGTGAATGGATGTAAACTACAGCAAGCAGTTGCCTCTTTTTCAGATGCGGCTTTAGGAAAAAAGCGGCCAGAGGCATTAGCTATTTTGTTCAATTTACATAAGGATAGCTGGATAGTAATTCCAGAAATGTTCCCTTTAGTCCAAGCCTTCTCTGACTTCTGTGTTCATAGCAGAGATGGCATTTAAACTGCACGTCCTTCCCACTTGTTTCGACTTTAAAGTTTTTCTGTGTTTAGAATAGCAGTTTGTCTGAAGCAACTGTAACCACCTTTGCTCAATCCATAGCTGCAGTGAGCTATCCATCCTCCCTTACGCAGAGGTATGTGAGATTCAAAAGCTTACATATTCATGTGACATTAGAAGTTAGTCCAGTCGGGACCCACTTTATTTCTTTGTTACCTCTTGAAGAAATGGTGTAGCTGAGGATGAGGTTTTATTTATTATTTCTAACAGGGAAATGCCAACTCAAGGAGATCTTTCTGTACCATTGTTTTGTGGTTATTCGTTTGATTTCTTGGTGGAGACATTTCCTGTCAAAGCTGATTGTAAACGGTTAGTGGGAGCTTAAAGTAGTACCGCTGCATAATGTGTCGGCATATGAATCAATCGGTTGTGCATAGCAGTACTGAAATGTGCTCATGGGATCAGAAATACCATTAACAGGGACTTCATGCCTTGCTTCTGTTTCAGTAAAACGCCCTTAATACTTGCTTAGTTCCTCCACTGAAATTATACACAAGGGCTGGGCTGGACCCTTCTCTAGGTCTTGAAAGCCCATGTCCTGAGCGGTGAAGCTTTCACCATAGCAACACCGAAAAGGTAGCACTCCATTTCTCTTTTCTTGGTTCGCCCAGTGTCAAGGAAGAACATTTAAAGCTTACCCACACTTTAACTTTTGTCTCCCTCTTTCCACGCACAGGTCTGCACTTAAAAGTTCAGGGTCCAAGCGTTTTATTTTTCCTCCGGAGCTTTTCCTGCAAAAACCTGCTCTTTAGCACTCAATCAAAGCAAACATCAATTTGGCTTGTCGTTTACTCCGATTAAGCTTTAAAGAGCGGGTTTTTGTGGGGAAACCTCAGGAGCAAAAGCGGGGGGCGCTTGGACAGAGAGCTTTAAAACGTGGACTGTACCTGGAAGGAGCAGAGGAAAGCATGGATAAGCCCTTAAAGTCAAGGCAGAAGATGGAGCTCTTCCCTTCCTCCTAAGCTTCCCCTCTCACCTCTAGTTCATCTGAGGCCTGCACACAGAAGAATCAGAGTTAAGATGGAAAGCATATCTCTCGAGTATCCCTCACATTGAGGGACATAGTGCATTACGCACCACTGCCAGCCTCCAATGACTTGATGATCTTATCTCAAGACAAGGAGAGTAGGCCAGACTTTTCTCAAAGGTAATCAAAAGGGTGTCCTAATGAAAAACATGTGGATACTGTTGTAGAAGGCAGCATGTGGAAGAGTTTGGTGCTGGTGGTGTTGAAGGCTGCCATCGGCTGTGGTGGCTTGTGACAGGTCTTCAGAGCCACACACAAGTCAAGAGCATCAGCCTTGAGTTGAGTTGATGGAACTCCCTCCTACAATTCCAGCAGCCATTGAGAATGCTGGTGTCAAGGTTGAACTTCAGCAGTCCTATACACAGTTGCCACCAAAATGGCTTGTTCTTGCTGGTACGAGCTTATAGAACATGACCTCTCTGGGGAATGTTGATCATAAGCATAATAGGAAGACAAAACAATTGTTCCTGTTGCACTCATGCACACACATACACACAAACCTGCATGCAAACAAACTGGTGCAAATTCCTTTGTTACCCCTTTATTTTTTTAAAGGAATTGTCCGTGTATATTCTAAGCTAAAATCTAAACAACAACTGAGTTTGAATTGTAGACTATACTAGCCTTCATCCCGTTACACGACTTGAGGTTGGAATAACAGACTATAACCCTAACCATGTAGGTTATCTGGCCTCCATCAGTCTTGGTTCACGGCCAACCCTTTCCCCTAATTGTTGTCCTTCCACTACTGTTCATTGGCCAATTGTACTATTGACCAATCATTTTCTTCTTAGATACGGAGTAGATTTTGTTATGCCAGGCAGGATCCTGAAGCTACTCTATGTGCCAGGATTCTGCCATGAAGGTTAATTTCTCCCTATGGGAACAAGAAGGGGCAAAGCACAACCTACTTCCTTCATACCAGTAGCCAAAGGGTCCAAAGCATTTTGTTAATATTCTCTACAGGTACTATAGAATTTCCTTTGAAATCTCTATTCCCTCTTTACAGGTACTAGAAACGCAATTTCATATTTAATGAAGGCACTTATGGAGATCCTCTTCCACATGGTAGATGGACTCACTTATGTGGATATTGTTTTTATATCATTGAAATAATATTTTGGGGATTAAGTTTACATTTGCTTTTGGTTTTTTTCCTGTATATAAATACACTTCTGTCTGTTTTACCATTGCTGGAGTCTCCCTTCTATGGTATGCAGACAATAATTTGCCTGATGTTACAAAGCTGTGAGATATCGTAGTTCCCCCCCCCAGCCCCTTTCTTGTGTACATGTTCATGACCATGACAACTACGTTTTTTAAAAAATGAGTTGGAATATTCTTGCTTTGGCGCAACGAAAACATAAAGCCTCTTGGATGGATTTTTATGTTTATGGAAGTGAACAAGCTGGTGAAGGATTTCACTTATGTATATGATATATGTATATGTAAAAACAAAACAAAAAAAAACTAGAAAAGAAATAAACCAAATGTATTTCATCTGCTGGAACGGAAGGTCATTATTTAAGCTTGCCCTGTGGTACCGTTGCCAAAGAACAGCATAATTATCTGATTGGTTTTCACTTTCTCAGAGCATCCCCACATTGTGAGTCATGTGTAATAATAATAATAAGGCACAAATCCCCATTCAGTTTATTTTTTTATTTTTTTCCATTTAAAAAAAAAATGATATTCAGTTTAAGGTAACATTTCGTTTTTCAGCTCCATCAGCTTTCACTCCCAAGTTTTTGTGGGCTCTTGACCCAGTGGGCTGTCAGCGAACACTGCTAGTGTCCTGAGGAAGATTTTGAGCATTTATCAAGCATGGTAGTCCACTGGAAAAGCTATTAATTCATATTGTGTTCATTTGTGCATTTTTCACCCATTGAATAAAGGCATATCACTGGCCTATGAAACCATCCTCATAGTCTAATCCTCTCAATGCTCAGACTGCCTTGGCCAGCTTCTCTGCTAATGCATTAGACCATTCTTGTCCTGTACATCCAGCCTTTTCTCCATGGAATAAATACACTTGTTGACAAACCTGGTGACACTTATGACAATTGTTTTTTTCTTCCTTAAATCACTGTTTAAAACAAATCTGGTTACATAACAAAAAGCATAAGGAAGAGGAAGAAGAAGAGTTTGGATTTGATATCCCGCCTTTCACTCCTCTTAAGGAGTCTCAAAGCGGCTAACATTCTCCTTTCCCTTCCTCCCCCACAACAAACACTCTGTGAGGTGAGTGGGGCTGAGAGACTTCAGAGAAGTGTGACTGGCCCAAGGTCATCCAGCAGCTGCATGTGGAGGAGCGGAGACGCGAACCCAGTTCACCAGATTACGAGACTACCGCTCTTAACCACTACACCACACTGGCGGTGTGGACAACTGGTTGATTTTTTTTAGGCTGATACTTTCAGGGTAAACATTTCACATGAAAGACTGATCACTGGATAAGACCCAACTAGTTCAACCATTCGTGAAATATTTCGCTTTACCTATCTGTAAAAATCGCAAGCAAATACATGGCAAAGTTCTAATATGTTTTAAAGGCTCCCTGGGACTACACTACCTCATAAGACATTAGTATATATTTCCCAAACAACATATATAATCCCTGAACCCCATTCCCAAGCCTGGTATCCCCTCCTTGCACCTTACCTGCATCCTCTGTGCTTATTAACCTTGGGCAGTTGCCTCTGGATCACGTTTTGGACCTGAACCAAGTCTCTGCGCTGGACCCTGACCTGCTTGGATGGTGTTGCGCCTTCAAACCTGCTGTCCTTGGTAAGTGTTCTGGTAAGAGGCTTATATCTCCTGGCACTGGGACATTAGCCCCCAAGGGTACCCACTGGAGTTTGACAGTCAGCATCATAATCCCTTCCCAGCACATCTCTTGCCCAACACAGAGAGAAGGGCTACCTAAAATGGCCAAGCTACCTTTCTTCCGGCAGAGAACCCAAGATAGCATACACGTGATTCCTAGGCAGTCAGCCCTCCAGGAACTGACCAGATGCAGACCTGCTTAGCTTCATTAAGCTGGTGGCCTTCAAACCATATTCTGGGATCGTGTTTATCTGTCTTAACGATTTGGAATTGATGGAAGAAGTTGAAGTTCTTGCTTTTCCCATCTTGCCCCGAGAAGTAGGTATGGTGTTGAGAAGTTTTACCAATAAGATTCCTGTTTGCCATTCAGTCATTAAAATTAAGCTGATATGCCAGCCAGCCAGTAAGAGTCACGCTCTTGATTTTACCCAATTTTGATCAGGCTGTTAACCTATCCCAAAATATTACGCTATTACATGAATGTTAATGTCATGGATATTCACCATCTCTATATCATCATCTCTCTCCCCCACCCTGCCACTGACAGCTCTGATAAGCATTTTCTGCTGATCCCTTTAATCTTTACTCATCTTGATTGCTCAGAATACATTAAGCAAGAATGGAATGGAATGACAAAGCAGTAGTTTCAGGTTGCAAACTGGAAGACAGTTGTGCCTATTTTGACTGGGGCTGTATATTGTGCATTCAAGCCAAGGGCAGCCTTTGTTCGTTCATTTAAGAAATTCACATCCCACCTTTCGAGGGGGGGGAGGAAAGGAATAAATCCTTGCAAGGCAGCTTTACAAAATCTTTAAAGCAGGATCCAAGAATTTAAATACACTTAAAACCAGCCAAATCCCCAAAAATAACAGCAGTCACTAACAACCAGCATGCATCAAGTGTCATAGATTATTGCACCATCAAAGCCATCTTTGTTTGTTACTTGCGTCTCAAGGTATGCATGTTGACATTGGGGGCAGGGCATTTAGCTCTGCCCTCCCCAAGCCATGCAGCTATTCCTACTCCCACCATAACTTACACAGGGGAGCTTTCTCTACAGCTGGATACCTATTTTGGGAGTTCTAACAAACCTGGTAATGGTAGGAGTCACATAACTTCAGGGATGCAGCTAAATGTGAATAACGTGAAGAGGACTTGGGTGACAACTCGCCTGTTGGAATGCAGCTTTGGAGATCAAACATCACAAACCACGCTTCCATATAACCTCCTCCTAAAGGGGTACCTTTACCTTTAGGGACGCAGGTGGCGCTGTGGGTAAAACCTCAGTGCCTAGGACTTGCTGATCGTAAGGTCGGCGGTTCAAATCCCCGCGGCGGGGTGAGCTCCCGTCATTCAGTCCCAGCTCCTGCCCACCTAGCAGTTCGAAAGCACCCCTAAGTGCAAGTAGATAAATAGGTACCGCTTTATAGCGGGAAGGTAAACGGCGTTTCCGTGTGTGGCACTGGTGCTGGCTCGCCAGTTGCAGCTTCGTCACGCTGGCCACATGACCCGCAAGTGTCTTCAGATGGCGCCGGCTCCTGGCCTCTTGAGCGAGATGAGCGTGCAACCCTAGAGTCGGTCATGACTGGCCCGTACGGGCAGGGGTACCTTTACCTTTAAACCCAGTGTTTTCCAATGGCATACATTTAGTTGTCAGTCATCAAGTGTAGAGAAGAGAGATCGAGGGATGAACATGCATGTGTGAACCAGCCCTTTGTGACACACTGAAATAGCTGTGATGGGTAGTAGGCTACATTTCTGTACTAGTAAATAAATACGACACCGGGCATCTTCCCTCAGTCAATTTTTTTCCAGGGCTCTTCCCCCATTTCCGCAAACTGTGTGCTCGTGTATATGTCAACAGTGAACCGCAGCAAACCCAAAACACATTTGCAAGCTTTGTCGCATGTTCATGTTGGTCCAGAAGGACTCAGGAAGAGAGTATGAGAAAGAGAAGAATCTCCAGCCATTAAGCTCATAGGCACAGTTTGTGATTTAAGGCACTGTGTCTGAACGCCAATTTTTTGTTGTTATTCCGGAGTTTCCCCTGCTAAAATCTCTTTAAAGTGCAATCGGAACAAACATCAACCCACAGTATACCTGAATTGATGTTTGCTCCAGTTCAGCTTTAAAGAGCGGGTTTTCATGGGGAATGCCCAGGGCAAAAAATATTTTAAATGCTCAGACACAGAGTGTTAGCTTGCAAACCTCTGCCTGGAAAGAGTGATATGAAAGCCAAGTCTGAATAAACCCACAGTCTCTCAGCCTGTTACCTCTTTCCACCCCCCAATTATATCATCAACATTTTTAGCATATACAGTCAAAACACAAGTCCGTCTTTTATTTTTGTAGACTCTCCATCCTGTTTTCCATGGAGTTGTTGTTTCTCCCCTTCTGCTGCACCCTAAAGGTAAAGGTAAAGGTGCCCCTGCCCGTACGGGTCAGTCTTGACAGACTCTAGGGTTGTGCGCCCATCTCACTCAAGAGGCCGGGGGCCAGCGCTGTCTGGAGACACTTCCGGGTCACGTGGCCAGCGTGACATCGCTGCTCTGGCGAGCCAGAGCCGCACACGGAAACGCCGTTTACCTTCCCGCTGGTAAGCGGTCCCTATTTATCTACTTGCACCCGGGGGTGCTTTCGAACTGCTAGGTTGGCAGGCGCTGGGACTGAACAACAGGAGCACACCCCGCCGCGGGGATTCGAACCGCCGACCTTTCAATCAGCAAGCCCAAGGCGCTGAGGCTTTTACCCACAGCGCCACCCGCGTCCCTGCTGCACCCTATCTTCTATCAAATCATAACCACAATATTATAATCTAATTACTTCTGTTGCTCAAAGCTCTAATCCTCCTTGCGAGCTCATCACACTGGCGGAGGAACGGGAGGCGGGACACGGGGGGAGGGTACCACCCCCTGCATCATCGGGGCCACCCCCTGACACGCGCCATGCACCCCCCTGTGCTGGGCACCATGCCCCTGCGGGCAGCATGTCACACCCCCAGAACGCATGCCACACCCAGCAGGTGGCATGTCACACCCCCATGGGCGACGTGCCACGCCCCCGGGATGCATGCCAGCCACGCCTCCGCCTTCTCTCCGCCCCCGGTGACAGAGCATGCAGCTTCGCCACTGGCTCATCATACAGTGGTACCTCGGGTTAAGTACTTAATTCATTCCGGAGGTCCGTACTTAACCTGAAACTGTTCTTAACCTGAAGCACCACTTTAGCTAATGGGGTGTCCTGCTGCTGCTGCGCCGCCGGAGCACGATTTCTGTTCCCATCCTGAAGCAAAGTTCTTAACCTGAAGCACTATTTCTGGGTTAGCGGAGTCTGTAACCTGAAGCGTATGTAACCCGAGGTACCACCATACTATAATATTTCTTTAAATAGTCCGAAAAAGGCATCCATTCTTCCATAAAGCACTCATCATTTTGCTGTTAATGTTGCCAGTTCTGCCTTGTGCACTACCTTACTTACCTATTCTTCTTTGGTTGGAATTCCTTCTTCCTTCCATTTCTGCGCATATAAAATCCTAGCTGCTATTGCTATGTACATAAAAGTCTAAACCACCTCAAAGGGTTGTGAGGATAAAATGGAGAGAGGAAGAGCCATGTGTGCTGTCTTGAGCATGGTGGAATATACGCTTAAAAAATAATAATGAATCATTAAATTAAATAGTACTGCCACCAGCACAATTGACTTATTTGTAATGCCAAAGAAGAGATGAGTAGGGTTGGCACGTCACGTCCAGCAGACCTGAAATCTTACCAGCTGCCTGACTTTCATGCAGTTGTTAAAGGCACCAAAGATGTGGCAGGGTAGAAAGTTGGCATGGTACCCTTTTGCTCTCTGGTGCCAGAAGGAGGACCAGCCTTGTCTTGCTGTATCTGTGAAAACGAGACTCATCCTGCCAGATGCCAGGAACAAGTACTCTCCAATGCGAATGGAGGAATGTTTGCTTGAATGCTTAAGGCCAGGCAAAAAGCCAAACTGTACTTCTGGTTTTAAAAAGGGGGCGGGGAGTGGGAGGCTACTGAAGAGCAACCAAAAGGAAGGATAAGGTAATCTCAGGCCCCGGGCAAATTCTTGTGTATCTGGAGTGATGCAAATGATCCCCCCCCCCACCTTTCTCTGCGACACCAAGTTGGAATGATCATCAGTAGCCTTGCGGCTGTGCAATTGCAATTGAGAAGAGTGTGAGAAGAGTCACTGAGAAGC